TCTCCAACCTACCAGCGATGGCCTCCAACCTAGAAGCGATGGTCTCCGACCTACTAGCGATGGCCTCCAACCTAGAAGCAATGGCCTCCAACCTACGAGCGATGGCCCTCGACCTAATAGCAATGGCCTCCAACCAAATAGTGATGGCCTCCAACCTACGAACGATGGCTTCCAACCTAGAAGCGATGGCCTCCAACCTAGAAGCGATGGCTTCCAACCTAGAAGCGATGGCCTCCAACCTAGAAGCGATGGCTTCCAACCTAGAAGCGATGGCCTCCATACTACTAGCGATGGCCTCCAACCTAGAAGCGATGGTCTCCAATCTACTAGCAATTCATTGAAGCAAAGGAGGGAACAAATAACCCTCACTTTGTCCCAGGGCCATCACTTGATGTCTTCCTGGAGAGCTGAAGTGGCGGCACGTTTGGAGGTCTATCTCGGCGGGGAATCGACATGTTGAGTGAATATATTCCTTGTCTCGACGAACCGAACCTTTCAAGCAAATTCATGGGTAGATGCACTCAGAATTGGCTGGCTTGCTTTTTGTTGGCATGTTGTGGCAGTCTGAACGTAGGCTTCCGAGGGTGGGCGGAGGCTCTTTGGATCAGTGAAGAGCTCAGCTGTGCAGATGAAGGGCTTCGAAACTCCGGAACATGCGTGAACAAAATGCGCCGAACACGTACTTCTGTATACCTTATACAAACATCATGGAATCTTGACAGTAGTGCAGCTGCATTCGAAGGAATCAGGACCAACACGAGATTCATTTACAGACTGTTCTAGAACGCCTGCACGGAGTCCTGAGACATGTGCAGACCGTAGCCCATTGAGCTGCGTAGCTGCGATTTCGAGCTCGCACACGCCCCTGCAAAACCGAGGAACGCATGTTCGGAAGGCCTGGCTTGAAGGGTTTTAGCAGTTTGAGCTGGACATGTCATGTCCATTCTTTACTTCCGGGCTTGTTCGGCTGGCCAAGGGGCGCGCAATGCAACACCTTGCAAGGAGGAAAATTAGGCACTGAAGCAAACATATACTCTAAATCCCAAGACCCAAGAGTCCAATACCCGTTCTGGGGTCCCATTGGTTCGAGACTGTCGTGCTTCGCTGCCCCCTTCATAGCTGCCTGAGCGATGTCCGTCGCGGAAAGTTGTGGGTAACGCCTTCGCAGGCCACGCCACGGCGCGCAACGTTCGCAACGGCCGACGGACGACGGACGACGCTTTTCTTGCGAGTGATCCTTCCACAGGTTCACTACGGAAACCTTGTCACGACTTCTCCTTTCTCCAAGTGATAAGGTTCATGAAGCGTTCCCGCGTTAGTCCAAGTTATTCGCTGCATCTCTCAATCGGTTGGAACCTTTTCCTTTTTTTTAGATCAATAATTGCAAATGGTCTATCTCCATCATGATGCATGTGAAAAGGTTGCCCAGCAATTTGGGGCAATTGTGGCGCATCAGAGCAGCGTGCGTGCAACCCAAGACACCTATACGGGCGCATGTAACCGAAGAAGTTGCATGTAGCTGCTGTACTGTAGCTAGGTCGCGGCAGGGAAGTAACCAGACGACCACGCGCCACCACCCATCGAATCAGACGACCAGAGCTATCAATCAGTCAATCCTTTCTGTTGAGTCAAACTAAGCAGCTGGCTGCACTCCTGTTGGCGCACACCTGGCTGTCTTCCATACTCCCCGTGGAAGCGAAAGACCGAAAGACTATGATTTCTCATTCTCGGTGTTGAGAGAGTCATGAATTATGACCTGCAATCTTTCGTTGGCATGCTTTATGGTTACGACGGGAAGGACGGCGCGTGATTGCTTTGGACCACTAACTTTGTCAGCAAATGCTTTCGCAGTAGTCAGTCTTTAACAAATCCAGGAATTTTGCCTGTGACAGTCTGATTTTATTCTCTAGACTTAGATCCGATTGGCTTTCACCATTTGTGATGTATGCAAGGGAGCTTTCGGAGTCAGGCAAGCAACAGATCACTTTGAGTGATCCAACATTCGCAGCACGTTCTCCAGTTGATAGGTGAACGTTCCACGTTTGCTCAATTCGATGTGTTTCCAACGGAAGCAAGCAGGCACATGTGGGGCTAAATCTTTTCGGATCTGTCAATGTTTTGCCCTGTTGCCCCACTATCTCCATGTTATAGCTGTTGGTGTTTGCTTGGAACCTGGAGTATCCGGACCCGACACCACAAAGCTGCAGACCTGCAGGTTCTGCCCAGAAGCCACAAGTTCTGAGAGGAGAGAATTGAGTGAAGCAAAGGTGGCTAGGTTTTGGAAGTTACAAAAGCGGGGGGGAAAAACACTGAAGTTTTCCCCTGCTCCTTTTACATCACATATCATTTAGGTTTGAGGTGGTGCTCTGGCGACGTCTTCCGTCCATGCCACGGCGCAACGACCGACGTTGGGCGACCGCGCAACGACCGAGCCGGAGGATTCTCTGGCACTTCCTGGATCGCGACAATGATGGCTTCATCACAGTGCAGGAGCGGTTCATGCGGTTCAGTTCATCGCATGCTTTCGTCACACAATGGCCTCCTTTGCTTCCTTTTGCTTCGTGTTCCTAGTAGTAAGGCCAGGAGCGCCCCGTTCATAGCGTCCTTGCTCCGTTCGTAGCGATGCCCTTTGTTACCTGTAGCTTCTTGTTCCTAGGTCCTAGGTTCAATGCTGCAAGTGTGAAGATCTTCCAAAACAGGCGTTGATCATTTGAAGGACATTTCACTGCTCAAACTAGTCTGAAGAAGCACATGGCGCCATTTCTGGGTAAATCCGAAGACTAAGACATCACAACTGACTTGGCCGAGTTGGAATGGGAGGACTTGAAATCAGTGATCCAAGACGTCCAGCGCACGCACAACAACTCCGTTTGGGCCTCAAAAACTAGCACTCAGCATGAGAATAAGCACCAACCTAGCAATATACAGAATAAACCAACCTAGAAGCAATGACCTCCATTTTCACCTATGGATGACTGCGGTCAGGATCCATGCGACATGCGATGCTTTCTTGATAAGGTTTCCAATCGAAAACTTGAGATGCTTGCAGATCACTATTTTTTGCACCTGCCTTTAACCTTGTTTGCACATGGGGTTTTCAGCTTTCAGCCACATATATCCACATATTGCAGGCTAGCATGCATGCGGTGCTTTCATGCCGACCAACTGGTTGCAGGTGATGATGCTTGTGCGATTATAGTTGGTGATGGTGGGTGCATCGCTATGTATCGTTGTAGCGGTGGCCTCCAACCTAAGAGCGATGGCCTCCACCCTAGTAGCGATGGCTGGATATGTGTTGGATGCCATTTGGCCGTCCTTGACGGGCCACGCGGGCCACGCCGGAGATCTTTCAGAAGGCTCAAGTCACCCGTCGATCCTCTCCGCAGAGTCTACCGAAGATGGCCGTGGCAACTGTTCCACCAGCTGAGCCTCGGTCTCTTTTTGGATCGGGGAGGTCCGTGGGTTGGAACGGTTGGAGATGGTTGGATGGTGTGAGGGTCACATGGGACGAGGTGTTTTCGTGGAAGTGAGGTCCTTGTTGGTTCAAGGGGTTTGGTGGTTGGATGGGAGGATTTGTTCGAGACGGTGTAGACGATGCGTAGGCTGGTGTGTGCGAGCCTCTACAGTGTATAAGTTCCATGCACCCCAAAAAAGACACCAAGTCCATGTGATCTCATATGGATATTATTATTGTGGCCTTTGATTCCATGTTGAAGAAACAAGTTTCGTGCAGACAAGTGTCCTATCAAAGCAAAGCAAATTTCAGGAATTTGGGACAGCGTATTCTGCATGAGGAGTCGTATTGCCCCGCTAGCAGCTTTGGAAGTCACTGAACTAGAATTGCTTCTTCACAAGCTTTTGAATGGGTGAAGGTGGGTGGAGCTGTACAGAGGTCACTTTGCAGATGAGAAACGTCGGGATGGCACTTATGGCATGACCTGCTCAGGAGTATGATTACCTCTTCCGCATGCTGCTCATCGGTGACTCAGGCGCGCGGGGGGGGGGGTTCAGTGGACTCCTTCCCACCGGAGCGGCTCGCCTCACCAGAGGCTCCACTGGAGCCATGAAAGCTTCGTGTTCCGTGTCTGTCGTGTCGCAGGCGTCGGGAAGTCCTGCTTGCTGCTGCGCTTTGCGGACGACAGCTACAACGAGACCTTTGTGTCCACCATCGGCGTGGACTTCCGGATTCGCACCATGATCCTCGAGCCTCGGAAGCGACGAGCGGGGCTCCTGGCATCGCTACGAACGGAGCAAGGACGCTACGAACGGGGCTCCTGGCCATACTACTAGGAACACGAAGCACTAGGACGCTACTAGGAGTCAGAAAGAGGTTGAGAGGGTCACCGGTCACAATCGACCGTCCTCACTGTGGAGAACGCTTTCCCGTTCGTAGCGAACCTTGCTCCGTTCGTAGTACGGCCAGGAGCCCCGAACTCGTAGCGTCCTTGCTCCGTTCGTATGTTTGAAGAGATCTTTACAGCTTTTTCGTCATTTTTAGGGCTCGCTCTCTTTCAGATTCCTGGACATCGGCAGCCGTTTTCCAAAGTTGGCCGCTCAGACTCAGGATGGGAAGAAAGCGAAGACTCAGATCTGGGACACTGCTGGGCAGGAGCGCTTCAGGCCGGGAAGGATTCGACGTGATCCCAGGTCGTTCGAAAACCGTCATCCGTTGCACGAAAACCTGACCTGGATGGATGACACCGCTTTTGGCCTGGCAGAGGCCACCAGGTGCTGCTGGATGCTGTGACTTTTGTTTTTTTATTCCCTGGCCCTCAGATGTGAAGGAACTGAGTCCACAGATGTCCACACCAAGCTCGTCCTTTTCTGATTGTGATCACCAGGAAAAAGTGATAGATCCAATGGAACCACTACCAAGCTCGTCCAAGCCCCAAGCATACGGTTCTCCAAGCTCCCACTACTCGTCTCCGCCCAGCGACCGCCGTGCCCAGCCAGGACCATTGCTGCCAGCTACTACCGTGGTGCTCACGGCATCATCATCGCCTTCGATGTCACGGACAGAGCACGTCCGACGGAGACGCGGAGACGGCGGAGAGTCGCGGAGAGTCGCGGTCGTTTCAGTGGCGGCTCCGCGGGCGCCAGGACCGGGAATCCTTCAAGAACGTGCGGCAATGGATGCAGGCAGAAAGGGTCCGAAGGGAAGGGAAGGGAAGGAAGGGATTTTTCTATTTTTGTCGTTCGAAGATTTGGATGGATCAGATGAAAGAACTGCACAGATTCCGCGAATCAAGAGGTCATCAGATTGATGGTGTTCGGCTCAGGAGATTGACAAGTATGCACCTGCAGTGGTCAACAAGATGCTCGTGGGCACCAAAATCGACCTCGTTTCAAAACGAGTTGCCGTTTGGCCAAACATCATCGTCGAATTCGTCGCGTTCGTCCATGTTTCTCCCAGTTTGGCAGCTGTTTTTTTATGCGAATGGAAGTGCAGTGACACGTACAGTGCAACTTGTATATATATATATATGTACCATATGTACTTTGGCTCAAGGATCAAGCGACTAGAAAAGGTGCGGTTTCCGTTCCGACGCTACGCCGCTTATGGACCGTCAGTGATAGCTTCAAACTTCGCTGATTAAGATCCACTCGCAGGTTATCAGCCGTACGCGCTCTTTATAGCCGTACGAGCTACACGAGACCAAGAACAAGACTAGTCATTACAGAAACCTGCAATGTCAAGCTCGGGAGGAAATGGAAGCGAACCCTATTCATTCGCTGCTCCTGGTGGTCCCAACACCATTTCGTCACCAGACTCTACAATGGGTACTGATTCATCAGCAAATGCTGACGTTATCACTATGCCTACTGGATCACAAATCTCGGAAAGATCCGTGCCACCGGCTCGGAATCTGACCGATCTTGCACCCGTAGGACCAAGAAAATCGATGAGAGCTACAACAAGATCTACATCGCCTATAACGTCTACCGCGAGATCCCCAAGAAGGAGTATAGAGAAGAGACGTGACGATGATAGAGGAACAAAAGAGCAAAGAAGAGAGATTCAGCTGGGTGAGGAATTGAGATCGGCGAGAAACGCATACAATTTTCTTCATGAAGAATATGAATGCATCCAAGCCGGATACTCACGACTACACCACGAGGCTGAAGTGGAGTTCAGGCAAATGTCTGACTACAACAGGAAGATGCAGGAACATCTACAAAAGATGACACAGGAAGATGAAGGAGCGACAGTAAGAATTGAAGAGCTCGAACACAAGCTACGCTTGGCGGAATCGACAGCTGAACATATCTACATGAGATATCAAGAGCTTGCACAAGAAACTCATCAAGAACATTCAGAGCTTGAATCTGTAAAAGCAACGAAGGACAAAATGTCCCAAGAGCTTCAAGCAGCAATTGGACACATCCAAGAACAGAATGAATCTTCATTGGCGATCAATAGAAGATCAAAAGCCATTCAGGATGAGAACACAGCCTTCGTCGGAATAGCTGACCAGATACAAGCTAGAATGATTGCGCTACAGGATGAGAATGTCAACATGCACGAGGTGATCCAACGCCAGAGAGAAGAACAATGGAACAGTGAGGTCAGGGAAAGACGTCTTCAACACAGTGTTCACTCATCTCAAGATCAGAGCAATCAGGAAGCTATGGTTATTGATCATCTACGAGGTCAACTAGCTATGGCACGTGGAGCTGAACTCAACGCGAGAGCGGAGATAGAAGAGATGGAAGTGGGCATGAGGATGGAGATATTTGTATGCCAGACTGAGGTCTCTGCTAGAGAAGTGGCAGAAATGAAGGCGAGACACCATGAATACGAAGCAAATGTCGCAAAGGAGGTTATCGCAAAAGGAGAAATATTCAACAACGAAGTCCTAGAAGGTTCCATCCGTGAACGACAACAGTTGAAAGAAGTCAACCTCGCTCTATCCGAAGCCAACGCACAGCTGAAAAGAGAGAATATGATGAGAGCTCCTATGTTCGGCGATGATGGTGCGGAAATTCAACAGAAGATCAGAGAACTAGAGAATGCACTATTGGAAAGCCAGAAGGAGACAAAGAATGTCATTATGGAAAATGCGAAATTAAAAGCAGAAGCACGAATGGCACCCATAGTCTCTCGATACAGCAAGCGTCCTAGTTCCAGAGACCGCGGGTTACCAACCCACGCGTCCGAGGAAGATGAGATTCGGAACGCAAAAGAGGAGGCGAAGTACTACAAGGACGGGTACAATGAAATGGCAGAGAGCCGAGATGAGATGTATGGATGGTATGCCGAAACCCACAATGAGTACGCCGAGGAAAGGGAGAAATCAATTGAGCTATCCGAGGCGAACAAATCATTGAGGGACAAGATTTCAGAAACAGAAGCATCCTCATCATCTCATCTTGCACCGGCAACCTCTACAATCATGAAAGTATCGAGGAAGGAAGAATCAAAGATAAACGTTCCGTCATGGCCCAGGATCAATGATCTTGGACTATGGAAGGCAAATCTCATTCAATCGATCATCATTGCGGCCAATGATTCAGATCAAGAGCCCTGGATCGACTGGATCAAAGAAGCCATGGACGATCCTGACCCGGACAAGTTTGTCGACTCAGGAGACCAAAGATTCCATTCAATCGATGCCAACCTCGGCCTAGCTCTTACCAAGGTCGTCATGGATGCGAAAGATGATGGTTCGGGTGTAGCTATGAAGTTGAGGACGAGGATCAATGCAAAAGGGAGAACATCAAGCCTCATAAAGGGAAGAGAGGTCCTAGCCCTGATCCTTATGAATTTCAAGACAACATCAAATGTGGAAGTCTTATATACTTCAATGCACCTCTACCAATTAGAATATCAAGGAGACAAGAACTTATCGTTGTTCTTCCACACTTGGGATGAGATTCTGGCAGGAATGAAGCCCGTTGACGTCCCGAGCGACGAAACTCTTCGGGATCTCCTATGGAGAAACATCAGGAACTCAAACCTCATGGCATACGACATCAGCGCCTACAATAGCATGAACGACGATGATGCCAAGAAGACATACAAACATCTACGTGATATGATCAGAAGGCACATCGAACGGCAAACTGAAGACAGGATGATCCTGGAAAAGGAGAAGGCAGTGAAGAATGTGGCCAATATCTTTCAGAATCTCAAACCAGGCGGACCTGCTCCAAAACTGAAAGCTGCACCAGCTGATCCGAAGAAGAAACCAAAAGGGCAACAAGAACAGGTTGTCTCAGAAGACGCTGCTGCAGTGAAGCCGAAACCCAATCCCAAGAAGCATCCTGAAGACAAGAACAAAAAGGGAAAGGGGAAAGGTAAAGGTGATGGAAAGGATCGCAGCCGAAGTCCGAGTGCAGACAAGAAGAAGATACCGTGCAAATTCTTCGTGAAAGGTAACTGCACTATGGGGAAAGATTGCCCATTCAGTCACAAGAAACCCAGATCACCATCCAGAGGATCTTCTGTCGGAAAGAATGACAAGCCAGTATGTTGGATGTGGATTCGAGGAACTTGTGACAAAGGGAAGGATTGCAAGTTCTACCATGACCCAAAAGCCTCTCCTAAGAAAGGGATATCTGCACCAGCTGACTCAGGAGACGATAGGCCAAAGCCCAAGGCAAAACCCAAACCGAAGCCCAAGGCGAAGCCTGGAGCCCCAGCCATTGACGGTGAACTTCTCATGGACGAATCCGAAGATGAAGGGATTGCTGCATCCGCCAAGGCAAGAGAAGGAGGTGCAAAAGTATCCTTTGATGAAGAGACTTGTGAGATCATGTTGAACGAAGCGATCTACTCAGTCAGGGACAAATGGAAGGTAGTAGAAAAGAAACCTCTACGTCCGGACATCAAACGATACGATGAGAAAGAGCTCACCTGCTACACGAGGAAAGAACAAATCAGATTTGAAGAAAAGGTCGCAGAGGCGAGAGGCATATTGATGGTCCCCTACACTGAGATCAAGAGGGTCCGAATACCAGTTGGACCAAAGGGTGACCTGTCGGTCACTATGTCTTTTGACGAAGATGACGGCCTAGTTTTCCATCATAAAGTCATTCCTCATGTATGCGAGGGAAAGAAAGATCATGCAGACACAAAGACATTGTCTATTCCAGCCAAAGGGTCAAGAACGAAGTTCATCATGGACACAGGATGTGGATATGATTTGATATCGAAAGGCAGAGCCAAGAAATTAGGTCTGGAAGTGAGAGAAAGCGACCAATCAATGTCATTCTATACTGCAAATGGAGTGACATCCACAAAGGGAGTCGCCGACATTCATTTCGACGAATTTGACTCTACCTACTCCCCATTCGTCCTAGATGAGTCTCCTTCAGTACTGTCTGTTGGAAAGAAATGCATGGAGGAAGGATACACATTCATATGGCCAGCCTGCGGCAACCCGTACATGGTTTCCCCGAACTACAAGAAAATTATGTTAGAAGTAGAGGGAAACATCCCATATATTGTCAAGGGCAGTGACTTCTGTACTCCCACCGACGATACAAGGGCGGAGATGATCGCAAGGTTCACCCTAGGAGAAGATGAAGCTGATTACCAATCGACTTTCATCAACTGTGATGTGGATCCTCAAGGAATCATGTGTGATAATGACGACCTTCCTGTGATTGAACCTCCAAAAGTCAAAAGGCGAAAGAGGAATAAGAAGTTCAAAGCATCTCCTGGAGAGGAAGATGAGGTAGGATCAGATGTCGCCGGAGACAGTGAACCAGAAGCTGACGATGATGATGCAGATGACATCGAGGTGGATGTTGTTGACGGTGCAAGTAGAATGGTGAGAAGAGGAACTCTGAAAGCAGATGCCAGGAAAATTGAGCATCTACTCACACATCGTTACAAGAATCCCTACTGTGAGTCATGCATCAGAGCAAAGATGAAACACTTCAAGACGCATCGAGGAGCGTTCAAGAGGAAGCTCAAAGCTTTTGGAGATCTGGTTACCTTTGATTTTGTCGATACGAGGAACATCTTTGATCAAGGGATCAGTACTGATCGAGAGATCTTCGTCATTCGTGACAGGTACACAGGCGTCATATGGGCCTATCCGTCGAAAGAGAGGTTTACCAAGGACGTGGTCAATGCAATAAACCACTTCAAAGGATTGAAGAAGATCAAGATTGCTTATGCCGACAAAGCCCCAGAGTTTGAGACGGCTATGAAGCAGCTGAAGATCCCATTCGATCACTCTCTACCGAATCATCCTCAGAACAATTCTCTGGCGGAGAGGAACAATCAGTTCATTATGATGACAACCGCAACTTGTCTCTTGGAAGCGGGGTTACCACCATGTTTCTGGAGCTATGCAGTAGAATGTGTCAGCCATCTTTTGAACATTGAGGAAGGAGAGGATGGAGT